CGCGTGACCCCCCCCCTCCCACGGAGGCAGCAGCGCCAGGCCTGGCCCCTTCCCCTGCTGGCTCTCGCTCTGTGGGACACCAGGCAGGGTCAGGAATGGATCCACCCATCCCTGGGGGCGGGGGGTTGACTCACAGGTCCTTGGTGGCAGGCAGCGGGCTGGGTTTATCCTCACACCCCTGGCAGCCCTATTGGGCGAGGGCCCGGAGACCAGAGACACTGGCATGCCCGGGGTCACAGGGCGTCTGCTCCAGAGCAGCCCTCGTGGGCCCCACGCTGCCCTGACCACAGGGCCACCCTTCCTGCTACCCACGCTGCGGAAGACGCTCATATACCCAATGGCGGGGGGCCCGGTTGGCCGCGGGATCCTCTCGAGGGTGCTGGAGCGAGGCCATCACCAAGCAGGGCGCCCGGGAGTTCCTGTCTCCCAGCTCGGGCAGGCGCCGGAGGCAGCAGAGACCCCAGGGCCAAGGACCCCGGTTCCAGGCAGCACCCTGGTCACTCTCCCCTCCCCTGGCCCGAGTGCACTCGCTTGTTTCCTCTGCAGGTTCCTGGGCAGCGACTCCCGGGACTCCTACTTCACCCACACGCAGAGGCAGCGCATCGTAAGTAGGTGGGGGAGCCTGGGGAGGCCTCAGGGCCTGCCCCCCTCCCAGCTGATCTGCCCCAGCCATGCTGGCAGCAGGAGCTCAGCAGCTCCACTGGGGACGCAGGCCTGGGTCTGGCCCGTTGCACTCTGGGGACCCGACACGTGGCAGGAGGCCGGATCCCCCAGCTCTTCAATGCATCAGTTTAACCCCCGGGACCCCAGCCTCTGGGGGCCCCGCAGCCGGTGGGAAACGCAAGCTCCAGCAACAGGCTCCAATCCAATCGCAGGCTCCAGGGCAAGGCTGGCAGCCTGGGGAAGGGTCAGGAAGGCTCCTTCTGCCCTGTGTGGCATCTAGCCTGGACCACAGGGAGCATGGGGCCGTGAGAGCTGTGGGCTGGGCGGGATCGGTCCATGCGAAGGCTCCCGTTAGCACCCCAGGCCCTGGCGCTAGCCCCGGGTGTGTGAGCTCTGCAGGGCTGCTCCGAGCTGGGGCTGGCTGGTCCCTGCTCTGTGTGAGCCCGGCCAGGGTGGGCTCAGCTGATGGCGCCGGGCCCCTGGGTCGGCAGGTCTACGAGATCCTGGCTCGCACCGTCTACGGGAAGCGGAAATGCGCCGAGATCGGGATCGACCGGCTGCTGAACGAGGGGGTGTATGCCGCCGCCTTCCCGCTGCACGAGGTAGGCCCTGCCGGGGGGCCGCAAGGCCAACTGGGGGGGAGGGAGCCCCCCGGAGCTGGGCTGGGGGGGCAACTGGTGAGGGAGCCCCCTGGAACTGGACTGAGGAGGGAGCCTCCCTGGAGCTGAGCTAGGGGGGGACCTGGGGAGGGAGCCCCCCGGAGCTGGGCTAGGGGGGGACCTGGGGAGGGAGCCCCCCGGAGCTGGGCTAGGGGGGGCCTGGGGAGGGAGCCCCC